TATTTGCACATTTTGACCTGCCGAGGTCAAACGGGGTCACATATCGAAAAGCGGTTTTTAAGGAAAGCTACTACGGTTTATGGGCTACCCGATGATGTGCTTTGATTTGGAATTCGGTCAATCCATCTACTCGAAAACTGCTGTGCAAGTGTATTTTCGACATAGCCCACAAATGACCTTAGGTCATCGCATGACCTTGAGAGGTCAAATAAGTGTTGGGAAAGTAAGATTAGATGCTGGCGAGTCGATTGGTGCCATTTTTAGCGCTCTAGCTCTACTGTGTAAGCCACAATCTGCTGTGCAAATTTGGGCAACGTGACCTTTGCTGACCTCTGTAGGTCAAACGGCTGAGAGTGCCACCGAATGACTTGGACTTTGGATTGGGCATGTCATGGCCTAAATTGTGTGCGAGTTTCAGCTTGATCGCAGGTGTCCCGAATCTGGGCTGAATCCGGGCTGCGACATATTGAGTGTCGTTTATTTGCACATTTTGACCTGCCGAGGTCAAACGGGGTCACATATCGAAAAGCGGTTTTTAAGGAAAGCTACTACGGCCTATAAGCTACCCGATGATGTGCTTTGATTTGGAATTCGGTCAATCCATCTACTCGAAAACTGCTGTGCAAGTGTATTTTCGACATAGCCCACAAATGACCTTAGGTCATCGCATGACCTTTAGAGGTCAAATGAGTGTTCGGAAAGTAAGATTAGATGCTGGCGAGTCGATTGGTGCCATTTTTAGCGCTCTAGCTCTACTGGGTGGGCCACAATCTGCTGTGCAAATTTGGGCCACGTGACCTTTGCTGACCTCTGTAGGTCAAACGGCTGGGAGTGCCACCGAATTACTTGGACTGTGGATTGGGCATGTCATGGCCTACCTTGTGTGCGAGTTTCAGCTTGATCGGAGGTGTCCCGAATCTGGGCTGAATCCGGGCTGCGAGTGTCATTTATTTGCACATTTTGACCTGCCGAGGTCAAACGAGGTCACATATCGAAAAGCAGTTTATAAGGAAAGTTACTACGGCCTATGGGCTACCCGATGATGTGCTTTGATTTGGAATTCGTTCAATCCATCTACTCGAAAACTGCTGTGCAAGTGTATTTTCGACAATGCCCACAAATGACCTTAGGTCATCGCATGACCTTGAGAGGTCAAATGAGTGTTGGGAAAGTAAGATTAGATGCTGGCGAGTCGATTGGTGCCATTTTTAGCGCTCTAGCTCTACTGGGTGGGCCACAATCTGCTGTGCAAATTTGGGCCACGTGACCTTTACTGACCTCTGTAGGTCAAACGGCTGAGAGTGCCACCGAATGACTTGGACTGTGGATTGGGCATGTCATGGCCTACATTGTGTGCGAGTTTCAGCTTGATCGGAGGTGTCCCGAATCTGGGATGAATCCGGGCTGCGACATATTGAGTGTCGTTTATTTGCACATTTTGACCTGCCGAGATCAAACGGCGTCACATATCGAAAAGCAGTTTATAAGGAAAGTTACTACGGCCTATGGGCTACCCGATGATGTGCTTTGATTTGGAATTCGTTCAATCCATCTACTCGAAAACTGCTGTGCAAGTGTATTTTCGACAATGCCCACAAATGACCTTAGGTCATCGCATGACCTTGAGAGGTCACATGAGTGTTGGGAAAGTAAGATTAGATGCTGGCGAGTCGATTGGTGCCATTTTTAGCGCTCTAGCTCTACTGGGTGGGCCACAATCTGCTGTGCAAATTTGGGCCACGTGACCTTTGCTGACCTCTGTAGGTCAAACGGCTGAGAGTGCCACCGAATGACTTGGACTGTGGATTGGGCATGTCATGGCCTACATTGTGTGCGAGTTTCAGCTTGATCGGAGGTGTCCCGAATCTGGGCTGAATCCGGGCTGAATCTGGGCTGAATATGGGCTGTCTTGACGGACATGACTGAAAGCTGCTACTATACATATAACAAGTAATGGTACAAAAATAATCCTGCGATCTCGGTAAGATAATGCCTGCTAGAAACATCGCAAGCTTCGTCCGTTACTTCAATGTTTGATTAACCGTCCGTGAGGCAAATCCATCCTAAATCTATTATCGACCAAGGAAAGGCATTCGACAGCATGAGAAGACAAAGTGAAATTAGCTTCTGCCAGATCCCAAGATATGCAGTGCAAATCACAAGATCCCAATGTTAATGTTCAAATCCCAAGATCTTGGGACAAATCCCAAGGAATGGCATCGCTGGTCCTATCGGTCCTCTCAAAACGCATGCGCCGAAACAGACGCTAATCGACCTGGCAACAAACAATCTGTAGCTAGTACAGACTAGTATTGTAGTTTATTTCTCCATAATATACTAAAATCCTTCTAGATTTAGTAGGGATGCCTAAACATCTACCAAAAATAGTGCGAAATGACTACCATTAGGTGCTATTCAAACTAAAAGTACTGCGATTTAGACTGAAAGCAGTGCTAAAGTCCCTTAAATAGGTGTTAAAACTGATTAGGTGCTAAATGACCCTGTTATACCTCAAATTAACTGGAAATGCCTAGTTTTGCCGAAAATACCACAAAATGACCGGTTTTTAGTGCTGAGAAAATTACCATCCCACTTTTTTCTTCCCGCGCACCGAAACATAAATAAATATCGCGTCGCAATTGTAACAGATAAATCTATCAAGGATGCTCAATATTCGACACTATTCAACAGCCTCTTTTTTAGGATGACACTATTCGAAAGTCACTCTTGTAGCCATTCTGTAACTCAGAAACCACTAGACCGATCTGGACGAACCAGGGACATAGCCAAGGGGGGGGGGGGAAGGGGCGCCCGCCCCTCCCTTGGGGTTTCAACCCTCGCATGTGTAGGGGGGGGGGGGTCGGATGGACCCCCCATGGTTTTTCGCGAATAACTCGCGTAAAAAGCGGCCGATTGCGACGAAACTTTCAGTACCCTCGCATTAATCAATTTTACACCTACCCTGAAAATTTCATGACCCTGACCCAAATGGCCTTTGACCTGTGACCTCTTTTCCGAGACCATGTTTGGCCGGAATCGCGATTCCGCGTATGTCGGCTCGCATTAGCCGCGCGTTTGCAAGCTTTTCGTGGTTTCAAACGTTCAAACATGTGATTTGATGTTGCTCCCATGCATTAGGGTGGGTGTCAAGGTCACCTGAAGGTCAGGTCAGGTCATTGACCTTTGGTGACCTCGGGTGACCTCGGTTCACTTTTTTTATTCAGGTTTCCCTCCAACGGGCACTTGTGGCCCATTTACAGGAGGGCTCCTCCTCCTCCTGGCCCCTGTCCCCCACCCCCCAGGCTACGGCTGAAGTGGGAGCCTACCCCACACCTGGTGACACAGCCGGGGACGACGCCCGCGGAACGGGCGGAACCGGGAATCGAACCCGAATCCGGCACCGCCCGCACCGCGGGTCGACGCCTTAACCGACTGCGCCACCAGGGCCGCAAGTTTTTCGAGTTATATATGTTTCTAGCCTAGTTTTTGGAGCTGAATTCGAATTAAGCAACCATTTGAACATTTACCAAGTAGTTTTGGTGCCTTTGTAACGTGTTACGAAGCTGTCAGAGGTGGTTGACAGGTACTACGAACACCCGTCACAAGTTGAAAGTATTAATTTGGTTTAAAATGATGATTTAGATAACTGTTAGTTATTTAAATCTAAATATCTTATGACGAGAGCGATTGGCATTTTTGGTATGCAGTGTTATTCATTGAAAACAGGTCGGAGCGTTTGAGCCTTTAATTTAGTGGTCGCCGCTTACTAATCATGCGGTATACACGCTGCACATAACCGCCAATGCCGCAACACAGCTTAGATTTCGAAGTAAGCATTTAGTCTCACCCCCTAATCTGTACGATCTGTACCAGATCTGCACCAAATGTGTACCAGATGGCCGTCGTGAAAACCAGTAGCGGCGGAAGTCGGAACACCCTCAAGCAAGGGGGCACTGCCGCCTTTTGGTCCCATTCTTTCCATGCAACGCCCTTAGGGCTAATGTTAAAATGCCATAATCAAAGGGGGGCACATGGGGGGCACGGTGCCCCGGTGCCCTCCCCGTTCCGCCGCCTATGGTGAAAACGGCTAATAGGTATAGAATATTATCTTATATCATGGGTGATGATCCTGGTGCCGCTTATTGACAGGAGCACCGGGAAAGGTCATCTGAGGTCATGTGACGTCATGAATATTTTTTTTTGTCAATAAATCACGACATGATGGTGGCGGTGCTAAAGACTTGTAACTTGTAAGTGGTACCAAACTGCTCGCCTGGTCAAGGCGTGTCGTTTGGTATGCAGCATGACCATATCCCACAACCTCATTGGTGAATGACCTGACTTTGACCTCGGGTCAAATTTCAAATTGACCTGTGAAGGTCATCGTATGCTTATTTCGCATCACCTCGACGAGAGCAACAAAAAAAGCATCAATTTTATTTCTCTACGAGTATGCTTCTTAGTTCAAAAGTTATATAAGTAACTAATTCCAAAACATTTTATCGATGATGACCGTGGCCGCAATATTGACCTGACCCGACAATGTTTTCTGTAAAAGTTGTAGATCTTTAAACGACCTATCAAACACCGTTTGCCATTTGTTGCTCCGGTGTGTGGTTTTTTGAGATCTAAAGGGGGGGGGGGGCGAAAAGGCCCCCGTCCAGAATCGAACCTTTCAGAGCCCGCCCGGAATAGGGTTAAGACGTAAGACGTAAGACGTAAGACGTACTGCGTAAGGCGTAAGCTCGCTCCGCTCGCTCCGTATATAATGGCGTTGGAAAATGTTTGCTCTACATTTTGGTATCCCAAATACCTACCAAATGTCTTTATGCTCAGTTTTACCATGCGACCTGCATAACTATACGAGTACAGAGTAGGTATCTAATGTTCCCGGTTGACCATTATTTGATCAATGCCTATTGCCTACACAGTGTGTAACTAGTAAACTTTTATGTTGGTCATATTCAGTGTGGAGTCTTTCTGAAAGAATACAAAGTGCATTTGAGAAGTAGCATAGACATGTATGTATTTGATGACAAGGCCATGAGTATGCAGGGAAAATTTTCTCTCCCGAGACAATCTCCCCGCCACATGGCCGTGTTGTTGCGAGACAAAGCAGCACTGTTCAGCAGCCGTCACTCCGGAGAGCTCCCACTAATGGTGCGGGTAGCGGCTCGGGTGAGGGCCGTACACAGGCCTCCTCACAGCGACGTAGCCGTGGCCGTAGCCGTGGTGGCTCAGTAGCCGTAGGAAGCCGAGCGGGCGTAGCGGTGGTGAAGGTAGCCGTAGCCATGGCTGTAGCCGTAGCCGTAGCCAGGGTGGCTGTAGGGAGCCGAGCGGCCGTAGCGGTGGTGACCGTTGTAGTGGTTACCATGACCGTAGCCGTGGCTGGCGTAGCCGTAGTTCACGGACCGTCCGTGTCGGTGTCCGTAACGGTAACCGTGCCCCAGAGAACGTCCGTACCGGTGGCCGTAGCCGTGACCGTAGCCGTGGCCGTGACCGTGGCCGTGGCCGGAGGCGGAAACTGCGGCCACCAGGGCACACAGCACAAGCTGAAAAGGAGATTTTTTGGGTTCAAACAACCACATTTTATCCTTCATCGGTCTCTCACAACTCACAAGACTGATGATTTCGCAGAAATAGTTTGACACCAATAAACATACGAGTAAAAGTGGCATTTTCCGTACTTAGGCTACTAGGGAAAATATTTGAAGTTAAAAATCAGCGACAAGCATTCATAGAATGTATGACTGGGAATTAATCCTTATTGCTTATGAGGATACATTGGATGTCCTGCAACATGTTTCGATTCAGACCTATACTGATACTTGAAAAAAGTAACATTATTTGGCCGACCCGAGACAATAGGGGGGGGGGGGGTTCTTCTGGATGTCTTACCAGAATCCTGGCGTTCATCTCGACTGAGCCGTGTGGGAGGGAGTCTCCGGCGGTGCTGCAGAACAGTGGTGCCTCCAGACGGCCGACCCCCGCTTATATGGCACTCGGGGTGTCACGGTGGTGACCGCGGTGTGTCGGTCCCCCCCCCCTCCCCCTAGCCGACCCTGTGGACGGGCGGGTCGGAGCTGGGCGGGAGCGGTGGCTGTGGGTTTAGGTGGCCTTGGAAATACTTTTTCTGAATCCATGGCCTTCCGAAGGGACTTGTGCGCCATGTCTATTGTGTATTGCAGGATGACAAGATGACAATCCATCCTATCTCGATGTCAATGGGTCCATCGGAATCGTCGTGGTATCGATGATGGGCAAATAAAGTTTCCGTGATACTAGGTATCGATAAGGTCATCGAGCGCCCAGGTGTCCAAACGACCATCGTATCACCGTGGTGTCAATGGACATTGGACCTGTCCATCGGACGCTCTGAACAGTGTGAGCCCCTCGTCATGGCTGGTGCTCGTGGTATCGCAGCCACCTCATGACAAAGTGCCGACATGAGAGCCAATTGCTCAAATCCATTTGTCTGGTGCAATGTGCAATGTTCAGCATGTTAACTGTGCAGTCGTCCGTTTGCCAACGAGATCAGCCGACCGTCTAACTCGCGGCGGCACGGCGATTAGGTCCCTAACAGGGCGTATCCGGGAAATAGTCTGTTGGTTTTCCAGATGATTGTCAGACATTTGTCAACTTTTAGTTAGTGTCATTCACTGCTTACGCTCAATAACCGATTCTGAGTGATATTTTTCAAAAATCGACAACCTCACCCTTCCGGTCCTATTGGTGCTTCTCTATACAACTCGGCCGACGGTGATAGAGGCCGGTGTGTTCCGTCGCCTTTTCGCCTCCAGATGAGCTAGAACCTGGTAGGAAAGACGAGATGCAGTGACACGACGCAGCAATCAGGTTCTAATTTCAAGGTATCAGGTCAACATATGACCTCTGAGGCCAGACCTAACGCTCTAATGATTGATCTGGTGCTTGGTGAATAACATGGCCAAAAAAGGTTGCAAAGCCGCAATTTTAGCACCAACGTATTTGTCATGATTAGGCGAATGGAATTGGTTTAGCACTTAGCTTTGTTTAGGACAAGTCAACTCAGGGCATATTTTAACAAATTTTTACTGCGTCCCAAAGTTGAGCAGAGGGCACGTGCTACGACTAAGGGCACAGGGCAAGGAACAGAGTAGGGCACTGAGGAGGGCAGAAAGTAGGGCACGACAGGTTACAGGGCATGGCACAGGACATTTTAGAGGGAAGGGTACAGGTCAGGGCACACAGCAGGGCACAGTTTAGGGAACCGGACAGGGCACAGGGCAGGGACGCAGTGGGTCAAATCAGCAGGGGCTACGTCCCAAGGCGAGGGGGCTGCGTCCCAGAATGGGACGCAGTAAGTGCCTTAAAATATGCCCTGAGTCAACTTAGCGTGTTGACGTCAGGTCAGGGCACGGTCACAACCTCTCAGGCAAAAAATGCGATGAAAGAAGGTCATGCCACATATCATTCACTTCGGTGGTGTGTTCATTGCTGGCTTCGTGACCTGTCACGTGACGCTTCGTGACAGGTCCAAGTTGATCGAAGTTTTTGACGAAAAATTCCGATGACTTTAGTAAGGTCATACTTGAGTTCACTTTGCTAAACGTCAAACGCAAGCTTAACCCTATTCCTGGCGGGGGGGGGCCTCAGGAGCCCCCCCCTGAGGTTTTTTGGTTATATCTCCCAAACGCGTTGAGCTAGGAAGCTCAAATTTTCTGACTTTTCCTAAAAGGCTTCTACGCAACATGTCTGAAAATTTTGAGTTGATCTGACCTCAGGTCAGGTCACCAGAGGCGGTTTGGTGACGCTACCTCAGAAAAGTTTGCAATCACGCCAGAGCTAGAGTTTTTGACCGATCGATTTCTTCTCTTCAGGGTTTAGTTAGGGTACCAGTATGTGCAATTTGTATATCTCGGAATTTTGATATCGGTGACCTAAGGTCAGGTCAATTTCGCGACCTCCCCATTATAAGTCAATGGGGGAAAAATCAACTCCCTGTTTTTACCACTAAAACGGGTCGGAATGGCCCCATATACCATACATGACTTCATATACGATCAAACTTCATTACCTTGAGGTCTGTTTTGCTGTTGGGCAGCTGTTAGGTCATGTGACGTCATCAAAGGTCACCAAAGGTTTTTGGCAAATAACTCCGTACAGGAACAAGATACAGACGCGTGGATGGTCTCATTGTGTTCAGCTCGTCAAGACGCATCGAATGATATACATGATGACCTCGAGGTCACGTGACCTGAGGTCAACCTTTGACCTTGACCTTTCGAGGTCAACATATATATCATTCGATGCGGATTGACGAGAGGATCACGATGATGCCCTTAGTTTGTTCCTATCTTGACTAATTCGAAAGTTATTCGAGAAAAACTCTCTCCATATCTAGTGCCGCCATTTTGACTTTTTCGACCCCTGTGACGTCATCTTTGACCTGACCTGAAAATGACCTTAGTAAAAATTGTAGATCTTGGCCGTGCGTATCCGATGCCGTTTATCGCTTGTCGCTATCTTGCTTCGTTCTCGAGATCTCAGGGGGGGGGCCGAATCGGCCCCCCCCCCCCCGCCAGTTTCTTGTCCCGGCGGAGCCCGCCAGGAATAGGGTTAAGTAGTAATCGGCCTTTGCAAGAAATGTATTCAATAATGATTTCGTGTCTGTGAAATAGTATTGAACGACACCAAAATAGCGGCTTTGATATATCCCCATTTACTTATAATGGTGAGCTCTCGTAACTAACCTAATCTCAGATGACCCTATGCCTAAACAATACGAGATGCAGAAGTTGTAAATCATGGGGAGCTTACTGAAACCTGGGGTTTTCATTTTCCTGTGAAAAAATCATCTGGCATTGAGGGTTCCACGAGACATTTTAGTATCGCGCCGCAGAAGCTCGCTTACCAATGAAGTCATGGGTCTTTAGTATCTCTCTCTCTCTCTCTCTCTCTCTCTCTCTCTCTCTCTCTCTCTCTCTCTCTCTCTCTCTCTCTCTCTCTCTCTCTCTCTCTCTCTCTCTCTCTCTCTCTCTCTCTCTCTCTCTCTCTCTCTCTCTCTCTCTCTCTCTCTCTCTCTCTCTCTCTCTCTCTCTCTCTCTCTCTCTCTCTCTCTCTCTCTCTCTCTCTCTCTCTCTCTCTCTCTCTCTCTCTCTCTCTCTCTCTCTCTCTCTCTCTCTCTCTCTCTCTCTCTCTCTCTCTCTCTCTCTCTCTCTCTCTCTCTCTCTCTCTCTCTCTCTCTTTCTCTCTCTCTCTCTCTCTCTCTCTCTCTCTCTCTCTCTCTCTCTCTCTCTCTCACACTCAAGAAGCGTTGTTTCTTTTTTAAGCGTTTTTGGTATACCTGTTCATGCATCTTTTCCACACACATGTAAAAATTTCAGACCCGTGTCGCTCAAGGTCAGTGACCTTACCTCAGAAATCGTTCAAAGGCTTGCTATAGGTACACCGACCAAACGATCACTTTGAAACTTTCAGCGATTGATAAGAATATCAATATGTATGTATAGAATTTATATCACGGATTTGTGATATCTGTAACCTAAGGTCAGGTCAATTTTTCGACCTCTCCATTACAAGTCAATAGGAGAAAATTGAAATGCGCCTCTTTTGGATCAATGTCTTTCAAAACCCTCTCAAACATCAGTTCATAGGAGAACGTGACACACTGAATCGGAAAAGTGCACCTGTTGTGACCCCTCTGTGTGCCCCTGAGGTCATCTCAGGCCATGAACGGCCACCAGCAGTTTTGTTTTGCAATTACTTTTGATAGAGACGTGCTAGAGCGGTGAAAACACGTCATGCGTTCACCTCGACGATACTGATCGACTGACATGCACCATGACTTTTTCCGGTTGGGTCATGACCTTGACCTGAGGTCATATTTTCAAAATGACCTTTCAAGGTCAACAAATAGTCCATTCGACGCATCTCGACGAAAGGAATACGATGCTGCCAAAAGTAATGTCGTGTCTCCCTTGAGTCAAAAGTTATTTCCGAAAATTATATTCGTGAAAAAGGCTACCTGCCTATTTCTAGAGTTCTTGCCCTCTGGAGGCTAAACCGTTAGCCTGAGGTCAAATTTGATAACATACTCAGAAAGGGTGTGAAAAGGCTATCGAATGCGCTTTCCGCGGCGCTGTAGCTCTATTGGTTCCCGAGTTAGCCGTTGGCAGTTTCCAAAATTGTTGAAATGGGCTAAATTTGACCTTTGATGACCTCTGGTGACCTGACCTTTGACCTGACATAAAAATGACCCAAATATTTCCGCCATTATGTTTGACGCTCTTTCGATTAGCGCTTATTGCGTGTCGCTACGTGGCCCAGGAGTCGAGTTAGACGGGGGCTGAAACGCCCCCCCCCCCGCACAACACGGAAAACACAGGCCACTAGCACGGCGCAGGTTCAGTCAAAGTTATTACATGAAATCAAATCATAAAGCGGCTATTTTTCGAGGATTTGCCCTCTGGGGCTAGAACGTTGGTGGTTGAACGATTCTGAGGCTTTATTCTAGAAAGAGCGTTAAAAGGGCTATCGAATGCGCTTTTCCGTAGCTCTGTGGCTCTATTGGTATAACTCGAGGTGCGCGCCAGTGTTCCGAAAAATGTTTAAATGTTGAAAATGAAATGAAATATCTTTGATGACGTGTGGTGACCTGATCTTTGATCTGACCTAAAAAATGCCGACAATATTTTCACCCTGGATTTAAACGATCTTTTGAATGCTTCTTACCGCATGTCGCTGCGTTGCCCAGGAGCCGAGTCAGAAGGAGAGTGGGAGGGGGGTGTTCAAACATCCCCCGCTCTCCGCGGTTTGCGCCGAGCACTGGCGCGGTGCGGGTTAATACTACATATTTTGTTTAGTTGTGCCTTGAGCAATGTTATAACCCGCGCCCCACTGGGGGGAGGCTATTTATAGCCCCCCTCCCGTTTTTCTGCAATAACTTCCAAACGGCTTCACGTATCGACGCCAAACTTGCAGTACCTTCGGCTGCATCAATTTGACACCTTGTGATAAAATATGAACTTCGTAGCTACCATAGGTCGGCCGGAAATGACGTCAGAGTGACGTCATGTTCGGCCGATTTCGAAGCAAAACATTGAACCACGGCAATCGCTCCCAAGAGCTCAGTTTTTAAGCTAGATCCAATTTATTTGCATGAGAGGACTCAGAAAAGACTGTGATATCAAACTGCTATCTCAGTTTTTCGAAATTTTGAAATTTTTGAAAATTTTATATAATCAAATTCAAAATTTATATTTTTACATTTTTTTTTCAAAAAGTTTTTGACTTTTCGAAAAAAACGGAATATATGTGATAGAACGGCTTATCATGAACACCTCTAGCAAGTTTTAGCTAAATATCTTCAAAAATGGCGAAGTTATACGCATTATTGCAAAAAAATCACAATTATTAATTTTTTCAAATCAATTTTTCAGCACGTATTTGTCATCGTACGCCAATATAAATAGCACCATCGTGATCCTGAGCCCAAACTGCATCCAATAGGTACCTTTTTTGTTGAAAGATGTTAACTTCAAAATTTGACCTTTTTTGACCTGAAAGTGACCTGACCTAAGCTAAATTTGACTCAAAATGACCTCGAATGACACGAACGACATCAAATTCGAAATCTTTGGCCTAAATGGACCATAAAACATATGTCACATGACCGACGCATGATATAATATTTTCGTGACCTGTGATGACCTGACCTTGACCTGAAAATCAAAGTACAAGTTTGGTACCCTCATGGTATCTAGAGCATCTGTTCACGAGTGTGTGAACCAAAAATGAGCCTGATCTGACTAGTAAGACGGCGACCAGAGCCCAAAACGTGAACAAGCCA